TACGTAGGTCACAGACAGTAAGCTCATTGACGATAACTGCCATGGCTGCGCAAGTCTCACTTTGTACAGCAACGTTGTCCTGCTGCTTTCTAGAAAATGGTTACCACGTATTCCGACAGATAGCACATGAAGAGTAGGCCGGCTAGTTGATGAGTACTTGCGAGATATTCTTGGAATTTTTATGTCTGACCCTTTGGGGAACCCGCCTGTTTCGATTGTTTACCGACGAGGTGGCATGTGGACGTCCAGATGTCGGAGGCCGATCATCTTAGTCTCGCGAAAACGGAAACCCAGTAGGACTACGCTCATGCGGTTTAGGAGTTTGTGGTGAGTCCAGATTTAGCTAGGCTGCAACAGTCAAACGCCACAACTACACGTTCTCTTTTGAAGATAACTACAAAACGTGTGGCTTTCGTAAAGTATATCTCATATCTTAAAGGCAGTTGGCACGATAAATCCCCCAAGACGACTAGGATCAATACTCCTGGCAGGATAGAATTCCGCGACCCTGGGCAGGCGCTGCATAGCGGTTTCCCCGAGGAAGGTGCCCTTATAAGGGCCCTATCAAGCCACAACTTTACGTCCCAAACGGCCGGCCACGCCCGCGCGACCCACAAATTGAGACCGTCTCCTCAAGTGACGAATGCTATCGTAATTCATTCATTTGCTAAGCAAATTATGAAGCAAAGGGATTGGTATGAAGCGGCCGTGATGCTGCATGCATATATGGGTACACATATGCAGCCGTATCTTCGGTAGCTGATTGGTAAGATGCGCTACAGGAAACTCGTCCGAAATCGATTTTCAAGTCACTCGTGAAAACGAAGAGGCTTTTTCTTGTCCGGCAGGGTGTTTGGACCAGTTTCAACATCTAACTCCGTTCTTCGCATTTCCTACTATAAGCGCCCTAGCTAGGCATATTTGGAGCGCCGTAAGCACCGAATCAAGCCTGTGGCCAAGCTGTCTTTACAGTAACGTTGCTCGAGATTTAATTCACGTCTTCCATTCTACTAATCTAACTGAGATTTCTTCGCTTCTGCTTTCAAACTGAATCCAGGCTGGCTTTCAGAAATGAACGACCATCAACCATTCCAACGACACTACGGTGATTCTAACATACGATCTCCTTGAAGACGTCTACAGTCGAAACTCGGTAATGGTAAAACAGCTTTGCATCGAGGTCAGTGACTTGCAATTAGTGCATCCAATACGCCATCTACTGCATTGGTTTGGTGAGACGGCGTTTCCGAAGTATAACTACACCCTATCGAAAACTCTTTAGCCAACATCAATGATATGCTCACATGTCCAAGATTCAGCCTCTATCACAACGCAAATCACAATTTCTGAATCTCTCAGGGATTCTTTGTAGGCAGTGGACAATAAAACTCGACTAGGCATACAGGGTGAATACACCTTGTAGGAAAGAATAACGTGTAATGAGCAAGTGCTGCAGTAAGCTGATTCCAGCGATGTTCGTCCTTCAAAGACAGTCCCTGCGCTCGAGCAACTCGTAGGCGTTCTTCCTCAAAGAGTCTTACCTTCAATCCCTAAGATTAGCCCTCCTTCCTGACTTCGCCCTCAGTAACGAAGGCGCTGTGACCCTCACAAGCCGCAGTTGTGACGCCTCCCCCCCCTAGTTGCCCCGCCGCGTACAGAATTGAAAGGCTATTTTCTTTCACGAGTTCAGTTTCCACACTACATTTTCCGTTTCTTTTTTCATTGTCAGATTGTGTTAGCATTGGATAGCGCGAAGAAACGATTAGTGAGCCAGAGGCGACAGTTTATCGCTGTCCTGGCGTAAAACGACCAGATCCGGAAAACTCGTTCAGAGAAGCTGCCAGGTTTTCACTTAGGGTCTTTTCATGATTTTTTTTCTTCTTTCCCTGGAGAGTCAGTTAGCGACTGTAGGTTTGTGAGTCAACGCTACTATGCACAATATGCGATCGCGGGGCTTGTCTTTAAGTGTCTCAGCGAAGCTTTGTAAGCCGTGCGCCTCTCCCTCTACCCTCCCAAAACCGTACACCCACGACTAGACGCACCTATTAGCATTTTATCACGGTTGGATTAGCTTTTTCACCCATATTGTGCAGCCATATGGTACTTTTCCCTTCTCTAATGATAATATTCATTCTGAAGAGGTAAGTTCTTGCTGACATAAATATTTTTTTCTTGCAAGCTTTTCGAGTCTTCTAGCCTCACGGTTATGTAACCGTTTCCTCCCTTTTTATTAGGATACTTTTTGATATCGTCTTAAGCTTCGCTGCCGCTTGAAGTGATCTCTTTTCACAGTAACGTCACAGTCGCCGTGGTTTTCCTCTGTGAGTGATGGGCGTGGCAGGACGGCGAGCCCGTTCTAGGTCAATTGTTGAAGCGGATAGGGGCCATAGGAAACACCATCGTTGGGAATTCTCCAACAGGGGAAGTGAGGTCGTATGTATTTGGTTTGAAAAAAGGTTTTTGAGCTGATTCTTCTAGTTTCACAGCCGCTATGGGAGAGAGGGGGGGTCGTATTGCTCGTCGTTGATAGAGGTGGTCTAATTTGCCTTCTGAGAGAAATTTGAGCTATATCCTTCGGATAGCTCGATCGCATCAGAGGAGTGAACTAGGGAAGGGGAGGGGAAGGAAGTATCGAGCCACCTTCCTAGGATGGGGATCGCACGGACTAGACCAAAATCTGAACCAATGATCTGCACCGAGGGGACAACAATTGGTCGAG